CTGAATTTTACCGAGACTTGCCACGGTCTCCAACCCTCCTCCTTTCTCATCCGGGCTTGGGACCGGCCATCTCGGAGTTGTAATGGCTACTGTCTGAGGAAAATAGTATTAGATGATTTGACTCTTTAGTTGATACTTAAAATCGTTTACACTATGTAAGATGCTGTAGACATGTCTATAAATTAAGCGTCAGTTGGTGGGCTGTGAATCAGCTATTCTCGATTCGCAGACGACGGGACATCTGTTGACAGGGTCTTTGAAAGAACTTTTAGATCTGATGAATCATGTGGATACGAACGCGGCAACTTCATTTTTAAATATAGGCAAAAATCCGTGAGTACAGGCAAGGATGAGAATAGCTTGTAGACACGGCTCAAATGTAAAGATCTGGATCGCATTCAGAACAGTCAAATGCTTTTTTCCACTGGTTTTTAACGAACTTACATCTTCAGCTAACGTTAGGACTAGAATTGCGGCAGCAGCGACAGTGTTGTCAAAGCTGAAACCAATCTAGCAGGATGCATTATTTCCGGTAGAACTAAGATCCACTTGTTGAAAGCACCTGTAAAATCAGTCTGTACGACTATTAAGCTCGGACACAAACGGCAGCAACGGAGAGAAATATACAGACATTTAAATAACATCTGTTGTTTGTCTTGAAAAGGATCGTTATTGTTTGGCCGAAACGTTGGTAATAAACGTAGTTAATACGTTGTCTATAATATTGCTTTATGGAAGAAATCTACATCGAAAATGAGTTTTCGAAATGAACCGTAGTATCAGTGTAACCATAATCGCTGTTAATGAGTGTGCAGTATATTTTTTTGTTTTTATATCAGTTGACGAATGGCTTTGTGGTTGGGTTTCAGTTGTGTCATCTCTAGAACTCTTTACTTCGTCGACAGTGGCAAACAACCGCAAACAATCGAAATGGCGTTCTTGGATGGCAGCCACCTGACAGTATTGAAGATCGATCGTGCTCTGCGGAACATTCCCGCATGTATGTTGTTCGCTGTCGAGCCGAATGTCGCCGCCGTCCGTATTCTTCTCTCATTCTGAACCTGATGACGATTTTAGGCCTCTCGATCGACTACGAAACCGACCGGTTGTTTTGGGTCGACCGCATGACGGCGATGGTTCACTACATACACTTAAGCTCGTTTGAAGTGGCCACCGTTTCGCTACCATTGGGCGTCAAGCCGTACGCGATCAGCGTTGGCTTAAACCAGACCCTTTACTTCCTGCACGGAAAATCGACCGAAAACTCATACGTTGGCTCCTTTCCGTTGCACGACCCGAGTAACGTCTCGATTCTCCGCAGACGTACTAATCGCGTGGTGAACTTAAAGGTGTTTAACACTAAATTCCAGAACGGTAAATGTCGGCTATTTTGTACTTATTTGCTGATTTACATTAAAGTTTTACCGCTACAATTACCATTTAAATGCAGATTCGGCAACCGTAGTTTGCTTATTCATGCATCGGTAGTTCAGCATTTTTCAACAAATTCCTTGCCTCGAAGCAAAATTTTTTATTCAGATCCAAAGTTAGTTTCTCTAAAGTTTGCATGGGAGCAAGTTGAAGCTTAAAGTTAAGTTTATTCATTGAATAAGAATTTTACTTAGCATACAGTAGCGGAAGTAAAATAAAAATAGTTTATAACCGTGAGAATGTCGGTTTTCAGCTCACTTTCATGACGGGGCCATTTCAGGCGCCCTTTTCTTCATGAAGATAATGATACAGCACTGATCTCCGTTTCCATTACATCAACTAAGAGAGGTTCATATCAAAAGGAAAGTCGATAGCAGCAATGTGGCACGCTTAATGCTTGGTCTCCTGTTTCATCATACGGCGGTACCCATTTTTCAACCTCAGAAAGAAGAAAAGCGAGTGACCCTAATCAATGCTCGAACCCTTGACCTTTCGGATTCGATGCTCTATCGACTGAGTATAACGGAAATGAAATAAATAGACGACAGTAACATTATAACAAACGAAAACGTTATGAACAAGACTCTCGTGGTCTGCCCATTGATAGACAATTACGTGACTTACAGTTGTTTCAGCGTAACGTTAATATTGAAATTTTTGATAAAATTTTGAAATTATAACCTCGAATCGATGGACGAAATGCTCTATTGAGCGTTCATAGTTTGCGCCTTGGTGAATGAGTATGAATCATAAATCGTCATACAGGCAAGCACAGAGCGAAGATCGCCGCTCATCGTCAGCCTCCGTTTTCTCCAGTCCTCGAACGAGTTGTACTAGCAGTAAAAACGTAGCGTATTTAACTTTTAAGAAACTTATTAAAATTTGACAAAATTGGGATTAAGTGTACGAGCACTTCAGTGGTATAGATTCTTTCGTGCAAAAACACAGTATCGCGAAAGCAGCACCATTTGTGATGTGTTCTATCCATTTTTGTTGAAGAAAACTTTTCTAGCAAACCGCAACCTCTATGCGACGTGTTTTGGTGCATTCTGTACAAGCAGAACTCCAAAAAATATCCAGTTAATGTGGTATGCGATCAAAGCATTACTGCTGAAAATCTCGTTCCTTAAGCTTCGAAAACAATAATGTTGTTTCTGAAAACCAAAAAAAGTTATTGTTGACATCATTTCGTTTGTAGCCTTTTTTCACTGGTTTTATGTAGCGCTGCTGATCTCCGTTGGATATCATCAACTAGGATTCCATTTCTTATGATGAGAATATTGCAACGGTGTATTAGTGCGATGTATAGTATCCCCTTTGTTTCTCACAGAGTCATGCTCGTTTGTCGTTCTGACGAAGAAACATGAGTAACTTTGCTGGGATTCGAAACAGTCCTATTTCAGCTGCGAGATCGACATTCTACTCACAAAACTACTCCCCTTCTGTTTTAACGTTGTCTGCAACAGCAGCTAACGTTGGTAGAACACATTTGAACTTTCACATTTTATATCGGTAGTGGGACGTACGTTATGTAATAAGGTTTTCACTTGGCGATTTTCTCTGAAACTTAATGCAAGCAGTTTTATATAACTCATGAGCAATCGTTTGACTAACTACCAAACGGTATGACAAAAGGCCGACTTCTGTTCATATCATTTCGTCACTAATACAATTTTTGGGCATGTAGTTGTCACTTTAAAGGTTTCAAAACCTATATGAACTTAACAGATTGGTCTTATGTTAGTAATCAATAGGAAGCATAGCATTATAGTTTATTAGTCATACTGGTCCTATCGTGCTACTGTGGAATATTTGAGTGATAACCGGCTTTCGCTGTTATTTCATTACCATATTTTCGCTTCAGAACGTCTGACTGATAACCAGTGCAGTCGCCAAAAAGGATACTGCCAACATCTCTGCCTGTTGGGGTCAGCGGGTGAAAGAAAATGCGAATGCACTTCAGGCTTTACCTTGTCGGCAGACGGCCGCAGTTGCTCAGGTAAGTTTCACAGATTTATTTGTTCATCTCAGCCACACGTTGTGGTTAAACCGTAGCCGTTCTTGATTATGTCTGTTAGACTTTTAATCGTTGCGACTGTTCAGCTGATTGTTTTTACGGTTTTGTGAGCCAGAGACTTTGTACAAAGCGAGAGCTGTGTAGCAGCCGGTGATTTGTAGCAAATAAATTAGAGTTGCATCATGGAAGGGTGTATATCGGGAATAACAGGAAAAGAGCGTAAATAAGAATCTGCGATGTCACTGTACAAATGAAGAAGTTAACATAGCAACCGACAGGGCACGTTGCAAGAAGAACCGACCATCGCTAGATCAGAGAGACATTAGAATGAGCTCCATGAAAGAGAGAGAGCGAGAGAGAGAAAGAGCGAGAGAGAGAGAGAGCGAGAGAGAGAGAGAGAGCGAGCGAGAGAGAGAGAGAGAAAGCGAGAGAGAGAGAGAGAGAGACAGACAGACAGACAGACAGAGCGGCACGTATTGAGCCCTCCAACTCAATCGCAGGAGGAGCTGAAAAAGTTCGCTGGTTTGCCTTGAATCCCGAAATGGTTGAGTGGTGGCGTAACGGTGGTACATCTCCTTATGTTTTAAGCAAATTTTTGTCGCACAATACAGAAATCAGATACGCCAGGCAATTAACCGTGGTAATATTTTTGAAGCTACGTTTTCTGAAGATACCGGAGATTTTGCCTGACGAAACGCGTCAATAAGTACAAGTCCTCTTTGCATATTTATGTCTCAAACTGTAGATATACATGAAGGGACAATTTTTTCTGTGCCAAAACCGAGACGGGTTGCAAGAACTGTATACATTCGTTTGATCTGTTTATTGCAATAAATTCTTATGATTTGTTAAGGTCTCAGCAGGTTTATCATGTACGCCGACTCAAACCACATTGGCGGTATTGATGAAAATGGGTCGATTGCACTTGCTCCACTGCCTCAGGTGCACTCGCCATATTCGCTTGATTTCTTGGCCTCTAGTGGTAAAATATACTGGACGGATACGGAGATAAATCAGATAATATCGATTCGTCGCGACCTCACGGAACGCACGGTGATTATCGAAGATCCATACGCGCGGTTGGAATCTCTTGCCATCGACTGGATTGCAGGTGATTTGCAGTGATGTTCTCCCAAAAGTGTGACCATATTCATGTATTTGTTTGCGTGTGTATGCACGCGGCGAGGGACTGGAATTCGTAGATGACATTGCCCTGATGAGTAGTATGGAAAACCAACTTTGCCACTTGATGATCTTTGCTTGTACAAGCTGTAGTCTCTTTCTTAGCCCCATAAATTGTTAAATCT